TCATTTTCTCATTGTTGTGTGGGAGGAATATATGTGGGAAGATGGATGAACGGCGGTGGTGGACTTCAACCACGGGGTGGGGCCCGGGCTTCGGGATCGGACTCGGACTCGGACTCGGACTTTGAGTCCGTTGTACTAAGCCCATGGTAGAACTCATAGCCGCGGTGAATCTCAACATCCACGAACCAATTAGATAACGTAAACTTGAAAACTATAAGGAGGTGGAATTGCATAGTTCATTGGTAGACTATGAGACAAATCAGAGTTATACAGACAAGCAACGAGAAACCTCCTAGTAGAATAGAATACAGCGCGAGATCACAATCCCAGAGCACCTATTCTTGAAGATGTATCCAAATCAGTTTGATTCTCAAACGACTCTTTTCGAGATCATAGTCTTGATATTATCAGCATATGCTCTGTACCTATTCCTCCTCCCAAAACCAATACCCGGCATACCATACAACAAAGATGCAGCGAATTCTCTGAATTCTCTCATGGGAGACATTCCCGCACTCCTCGACAGCCAAAAACAAGACATAACGCTCTGGAAATGGGTCTCCTCCCAATGCGAGGGGCTCCAATCACCCATAATCCAGCTCTGGCTGGCACCCTTTTCGCGATCCCTGGTCGTCCTCTCTGACTTTCGCGAAGCCGAGGACATCACCATGCGGCGAACCAAAGAGCTCGACCGCTCAGACAGTCTCGAACACATCTTCGGACCTCTGTTCCCCCATTTTCACATGCTCATAAAGAGCCAGGACCCCCTCTACAAGAGGCAGCGGAGGTGGCTGCAAGATCTCATGACGCCAGGTTTCCTCCACAACGTCGCTGCTGAGCCGATCTACCAGAACGTGCTTAAGGTTGTCGAGCTGTGGGATCACAAGGCGCGGCTCGCCAGGGGACGCCCCTTTGCTGCGTTTGAGGACATTTACAACGGTGCTTTGGACGCGGTTTTCTTGTTCTCGTTTGGCGGAGCGTTTGCTCATTCGGCGATACCAGCCCGACTTGAAGCGGTCGCCTCCATGGGAGGGGTAGAAGAACCTTCCAAAGCTGGAGATCCTATGTTGTTTCCAGAAGAACCGAGGAATGTCAAAACAGCCAGCCGCTTATTCGACGAGGCTTTACTGAATCGAGGGGGTGATTGCAGGTCTTTGGCTTCTTGATGGCGGGGCATAAGACCAGCGCCACAACCTTTGAATGGGGCTTGAAGTACCTTACTGATCATCAGGATATCCAACGACAGCTTCACGATGAGCTACGCAAGCACCTTTCGAAAGCAGCAGCAGAGAAACGGCAGCCCACCTGTGGAGTAATCATTAAGACCACCATCCCGTATCTAGACGCCACCATGAAGGTGATCCTCCGCTGCGCGGGAACGACGTCCGTTACCGACCGACAGGCCCTCCACGACACTACCATTCTAGGCCACCGAATCCCGAAAGATACAAACGTCATCCTGGTCACCATCGGCGAGAGCATCATGAAGCCTGAGTTCGACATACCGGACTCGCAACGCACGAAGACGGCCCTCAACGCAGCCAGCCGCATCCGTAGCTGGAACTCGTTGCTTTATCCGGTGGCGGATTTCCAGCCCGCGCGTTGGCTGGTGCCGTCGAAAGACGACGCCGATCGCGAGGTGTTTGATGCTACCGCCGGGCCGCAAATGGCGTTTGGACTGGGGCCTAGGGCTTGTTTCGGACGGCGACTGGCGTATTTGGAGCTTAGAATGGTTACGGTGCTCTTGTTCTGGAACTTTGAGCTTCTTCGCTGCCCGGATGAGCTATCTGGGTACAATGGGTGCGTCGGACTGACTGTCAAGCCGACGCAGTGCTATGTCAGGTTGCGCAAGGTATCGTGGTGAGTTAGAAGTAGCAACGGCAACGTAGGATCGTCCTGTGCTGTAGACGACATCTCTCCAGGTGATTGAGAACCTTAAGAGCGTTTTTGTGCCCACTCTTTGTATTAAATAACAGCTTGCAGATGGAAGATTGCTCGTATTAGTGTATGCATCCTGCACAGAGTGGGGATAATCCAATATGTATCTTGATCGGATAGTTTTATACGGCGGCGGATGAGAAAGAGAATAGATGGGATTAGCTCCTGCTAGCTAATGTTTTTTAGGATCGCCAAGCGTTATTGTCGCTTACACCACCCGGACACGGAGCCGAAAGTGGGTCCAGAGCCGGCGAGAAGTCGGTCGGCGGCGCCGGCAAAACTGCCAAGGACGGTCGGAAGTGGACCGCACCTCGCAAATCGAGCGCACACCCGTGTGACCTCGACGGGTTCTGAACCAAAAGGTCCCTATTTTATCCAACGTTAATCCAATTCAAAGTTTTCTGTTGGCCATGTTTTTGTGGATAGCGTCTCGACCTTTCTCCGGAAAACTTTGTGAAACTTATAAGTCGACGAGTACGCCTGTGATTAGGAAAAGAAGAGTCAAAGACCACACACAATCACACTCATCCACCCAAAATCGAAGCAAAATGAGTTACCTAGCCCGCAATTCTCTGATCCGCCGACTACGAGCCGTGCCGACGGCGGCAAAATTTGCACCGCTGATGGCTGCGGGCTTCATCGTCACAGTTTTGAATCTTGGGCCACCGCCATCCCCTGATGCTGCTCCAGCATACGCTGGTCCTCGACACGGGCAGAGAAAGCAAGAGTACCCAATCCGAGGATGGACTGGCAATTTGTAATGTTCGTTAGCATGTCTCGTTTTTTGTACACTAGATGGCGCAGCTGACCAGACACGATGGATGCTAGAGCCATTGTCTCCAGTGCAACTCCCCGAGCGAAAGCCCCACCACCGCCGCCGATTTGCACCGACGGTCACCTCCTTGCTGCCCTTCACGCGTTACATCGACCAATCATAGAAGGGGCAAATACGTGCATGAATTCGTACGTTAGCAGAGCTTCTATCAGAGACAATGGAGCTTCGTTCTGGATTACCCCGAACTCATCAGCCCACGGTCTTACCGACGCCTTCGATTGATTCGCCGGTGTTCACAAGCTCGAATGTGAGGTATTCAACGCATCTGCAGCATGGTACGTTCACCACGCACATCAACATATAACCTCGAAAGATACTCTGCTTCATGGGAAGTGCAATCTCACACTTCCGTTGACGAGGGTTAGGGTTAGCGCTCTAGTTGCATTACAACATGCAAGCGGAGCCCCTATGATATGGCAGATAGACAACAGCAAATTCTACGCGCCACCCAGGACGTATGAAGGAACACAATTGATTGGAATGACTGCTGTCAAGCCAGCGGGCCAAATGGCGCAATGTGCGGTCGGAATTTCGAATCCCAAGTTACTACATCGCCGATCTGTAACAGGCGGCACAATAGGGGGAACAGGCCCATCTGCTATCTATCTGATGCGACAGCCCATGTCGAGTCAACGATTAGAGATCATGCGCTGCGCTACACATCTTGCTTGCGACTTTCTAAAGGAGGTCGAGAACGAACTTTCGAAACTTTCAGATGGCTTTGTCAACCTGTCAAACCCGACTTTCAAGCTGAGGAAAGGAAAAGAGTGAGGCTCGCATTCCCCTGGTAACCCTTTTCTCGGGCGGTTGTCGCCCTTTCGTATGGGGCTTGCTTCGCTCAAGCCGTGGCTGTGGCCGTTGGATGGACAAAAGATAAGAGCACAGATTTCGGAGTTCCACAAAATGTTGTCGCACAAGGTCAATCCGCTTTGTCCGTGTTTCACAGATTGTACTGTCACATTAGGCGCATCCGAGACCAAAAACACCTTTTTGCGGCCGCTGCAGCAAAAGCAGAGGTAAACAGCTGAGTACAAAACGCGCAACCCGTACCTCTGGCCGCTTGGCGTGCCCGAAGGTCGCGAGAGGATGTTATCTTTACAAAGTGATCTACGTGCACAAGTCATACACATATATGTAGTTTATTACGCCCCGATAAAATAATATAGCTTATCTTCATACACTTCACCACCCGCAGCTTACATCCTTGCCTCCCAGAAGCCCGTGCCAGTGTTATCTACCTACCTATATGTTATACTTTGTCAATGCTTCTCAGTGCTGTGGTTGCACGTGGGTTTAGTTGCGGGCTCTCTTGAGTCCACTCCCCCAAGTCATGCGCAATTCACGACTGATAAGATCAATGACACCTAAGGTGAGCATTTATAGGCTTGACCCCCACTCCGGCGAGAATGAAGCCTTTGCGGCGCTCGATAAGAAGCCACTTATCTTGAGTCTCGGCATTCCCGACGTGCCCACACACCAATCACCCAAGACCCGTTATTCCAGGAACGGCAATTGAGTTCTCGGAATAACAGACGTCAACGTCAGAAGTGATCTGCGCAAGTGCCGCTCGTCTGGTTTGAGGTGCACCCTCCCCCTTAGGGCTGGGGGGATGTCATCGTGAACTATTCATAGCCCCCACAGCTGTCATGTACCTCCTCCAGCGCGTTTGCTGCACTATCTCTACGATGACTTTTTATATTGAGTCGTGCCCATGCCAAGGCCTTCTGCATCGGGTTTGTCCGCTGATGCTTGAAGTTCACCCTTAATCACTTTGTCTCCAACGGTTCTGCTATCGGGACGCGATTTCCGATTTACCGATTTATACAGCACTCCATAACAGAACGCGGAAGACTATGCTCCTCCGGTGATTCGTTTGCCTCACCAGCGAAGCTGTCCTTATTCAACATCGTCTAAGACCCCCGGCGTTCGCACGAATCAAGTGCCAATGATCCTTTGAGTTCACAACTTGATATCCAGTCAAGACAAAACCAAGTGCCAAGGGTTGATATCAAACGGAGCGCCCGCGGCCCGCCACGCACAGCCTCGACATCATACGAGACTAGATCTTATCAGCAGAGCTGTCCGTCAGTTCTTAGATATCTTCGCGATCAGCCCAACTCTCTCGTTCACTTCTATCCAATACCCAGCATCGCACTTTGCTCGCCTTCCTGTCGCCCACAACTCCACACTAACTCGATATCACCACGAGTTTCAAGTTGCCGGCAGTATGATCTTCTCCAACGTCATTGCGCTTGCTGCGCTTGGTCTCGGTGCTTCACTGGCCTCGGGGCACAGCATCGAGGTGTTAGGAACCGCTCCACTAGCCCCAGGGCGCAGCATCGAGGTGTTGGAAACACGACAAGATGCGCAACCAGCACAGAACGTCACCGTTGACGATTGTTCCTTCTTTTCCGAAGACGGGTACGTATTGTCCCTCCCCATCCTCAAATGTGACTCTTGCAACCTGCTGACGCATCGAACTATTTCCAGCATCTTGCCAGAATGCTGGCAGGTTCTCGAAATGAACAACCACCTGAATGTAAGTTGCCCAGCCACTTCTTCCTAATGCAGAGCGAGCCGAGCTAACTACCTTTACAGCACTGGTGGTCCAACAACTCTGCGAGGTGCGAGGCTTCGAAGAAGGGCTTTGCCCAGTGTTACCTGGACTCCGCCGTATGAAAGACCCCGCCTTTGGCACGATCGACGATACCAGCGACCTCAATCTGACGTGACACAGGGTCTCATTTCATGGCAATGCGACTTTGTGGCTCTCAACGCATGCACTCCGCCTCCCAGCGGGCGCGACGCTGGATATGCCTCGTATCAAGAGTTTTATGTGAGTACTGGGCGCAGATTGCATAGTGTCTCAATGCTGATCATGTCTTTGCCAGGTCATCTGGAACATCTATTGTAAGAATTGTTGCCGTCTGAATGCTTTGGTCTCTCAAGCAGCCCGTTGACGCAATGTACTAGCCATCAACCTCTTCTGGACCAACTACCATCAGTCGCTACTTCAAGGACAGGCAAGTGCCATGTAAGTCTCAACTACACCCTCGTCATTTTGTTGTGTTCGAAGTGCCTTCCTGACTAGTCTCAAATAGTGGTTCAGTGGCTGAGATCGTAAAGACTGTCGCGCCGCCAACGACGAAAAATCCCAAAACACCGCTTTTCTCTCCGATATATCTGGTCAGCATCGGTCAGTTCGCGGTAAGTATGACAATGGCCCTTTACTACTAACAGAACCAACCGCTGATGGGTGCAATAGGCGTTGGCTCCTCTCCTCGGTGGATCGATCGGAGCAAGCATGATCTTCGCCTCCCTGATCGGTGTTCTGGGTGGCGGATCTGGTCTTTTCAATCTGCTGTTCCCTCAGAAGACGGTGTACGATGTGCCCTGGGAGGGCTTGTCCGATGCCCTGGGGACGAACGTCAACGAATTTCAGAAGAATGTCGGAGCAGCTTTGACTGAAATCCAGACAAACTTTGACACATTCTATGCGCTTACCTCGAACGGTGGCTTCAGCCAGGTAATTGTCAACTTACTACGCTGTACGGAGTTGGACTGACACTCGGCCAACAGAGGCTCAAGACGAACTTACCAGAAGACACCGATTTCATGTACCACAACCTCAAGAAATGGGTATTCAACCAGGCTCTGCAGCAAGCAGGCTACTTCGCCGTCAAGAAGTGCGTTGGCTTCACCCCTCAAGCACTATACTAAATGGAGACTAACAAGTAGCTTGCAGTCCCGGTGTCGACCCGCGGGAAATTCCTATTGACCCGTATGATTGCTCCAAGTTGGACGACAAGATGACGTGCGGCCCAATCTGGTTCGACGGTAAAGACTCATACGGCCTCGCGAAAGCAAACGGTGAGTCTATTGCATTTGAGAAACGTTGTCTCAGGGCTCGACTAATCATTCGTGGATGGTAGATATTGGCATGGATCGCATGAAGGAGATCCTCGACGTAGCGTTTTCCAAAAACTGGACGACGCCGAGCGAGCTCTACATCGACGCTCAGTCGTGTCGTGGGAAAAACGGGTCTGAGGCGTTTGATGTAAAAGACCTGACGCTGAGCTGCGTGGTGAGTTGACCCTTTTCGCAGTCTGCGCAGCCTGCAATTGGCGAAGAATTCACGGCGCTAACAACATGCGACATCCAGTCTAACCTGCCTGTCTGCGAGTTCAACTTCGATTACAATCCGTATGAGACTACCTGGGCCCGCGTAAACCCACCGCAGTTCACCAACTGTCCCAACATGAGGGGTTGGGGAGTTCCTCCTTACTGGAGTAATGATGCCGGAGTGCCACTGACCTATATTGGTCCTTTCTTGGTAAGTCAAGACATCCTGAAAGACTTCTTTCCATTAGAAGCATATCGCTGACAGTATCAATTAGATGTCTGGCGTGATTTATAATGAGAAGAGCGGATGAGTTTGTGCTGCTTCATTGTGGATATTGGCCTCGAGATCAAAAGCATTTAGAACATGATTACTGGATACCTATCCCATGAAACGTATGGTAGAGCTTGAATTTGATATTAAACGCTATTGAAATGGCCTGATCCATCTGTGAGTCTAGCAAAGGGCTGTTGAGGCAGAATCATCGCGGACTTGCCTGTTCTCCTGTACTGCCTGTCTGCGCCCGGAGGGCTGTGATCGACCTTAGGAGGAAGCAGATGGCGATGGCAAGGTCCTGCGAACCAACAAAGTCGTGTTATGCGATGAGATGCAGAGGGTAGGTTAGCTACCAAACCTGACAGGGTGCACAATGATACATAACAGCCACGGATGACTGCAATCCACCATCCCGCCCGGGTCGCTGCTCGCGCGGCGGTCCCGATCCTCGCAAATGTGAGACGCCAAGAGGGAGCGTGGGCAGAGACCATGCGACTGGGCTACAAATGGGCTTCTGAGGTACGTTGACGCCTCTGATGCCACTGTCACGGGTCCAGCATGGAGGTACTGGTGCCCTGTCACGCGTGCCTCTCGACGATATCTGACACTCATGCAACGCTAGAAGAGCATTGATTTCTTTTCTTTACTTTGAGCTGCGTCCTGTATCTAGGGCCTGGTTCCTTCGGTATTGCCGCCGCAGATTTTACATCTTCAGAAAGCGAAGTGACGGCACGGCCCTTCACAGAGAGGAACCCTGGCTTCGCCTGTGTCTCAACCCCCACGCATATCCTTGGCCAGCAAAGATAGATTGATGGAAGGCAATGACAGAGACGCTGAATTCAGAGACATAGCCTCCATCATTCGGGGTTGGACTGCTCAGCTCCTCGCAAATCTCATGTACGATTCTTCACGTTCCAAGGGCGGAGCGTCTGTCATGATCACGTCCCCGTCCGCATCAAGCTCCCACGTGAAGTGATTATCCCTACGTACAGTGCTGCCGCCCCTGCCTCTATTTCTGCCTACAAGGCACTCGAGTGTTGATTGGGAGGCCCTGTCACTATCCGCGTGACGATGATGACCTGTGCCTATTTCCGGGCGACATTCAGCTTGGAAGTATGTCTGATATTGTGGTGGATATGCGGGAACTTGTCTAAAGGCTGGCTCGTTTGCAAGGCGGTCGTACGCCCTCGATGTTGGGTATCTGGGGTTGGTTTCCATCTGGTACGAGTTAGACGAGAGAAGGGTGCAGAAGGGTTCAGAGTTGAGGGCTAGAGTTTGCCGAGAGACTAAGGGTTCGCGAAGGTATTCAGGGGTTGCTACGCCTTTTGCAGGCAATTTCTTTGACATCAAGATATTCAAATAGAACCAAAAGTATTTATATTTACCACAGCAGCATCTTGTGTTACCACAGCACGCTGCATCACTGCTCTACGTGCGTATGTGTAACTCCGATCTTGATTCACCATGTATTAATGGGATATCTCCAGCAACGACGCAGACTACTTCGATCTCTGAAAGTCGAAACTCTGTGTCTAAGCTTGACTTCCTCTGCCTCCGAACAATCAATCGGCAGGCAGCACGCAGTTCCACGCCGTCGACAAATTCGAGTTCTGAACCCCATCCCATCGACTCTCAAACGGATACAAGCAATACTCTGCCTCAAATTAGCAACCACATCCACAACACACTCACAAAACACAGAAAACAACCTTACTCCTCTCAGCCAACACCTCGCCCTTGCCATCACCCCCATACATCGCTCCCACAACCTCCTCCACCGCCCTCCCGCCCTCAACCCACTCGACAAGCGCCAACAACGCGTTCCCCTTCGGATCCAGCCGCCGCCCATCAAGCGGGTACGTCTGCCCGATATCCCACGCGCCCCTCCCACCACTACAGTGCCTCATCCCCGGGATAAAGAACAGCCTGTAGAACCCGTCCATCTCTGCCTGCGTCAGCCCGACCACGCGCTCCACGCCCTCGAAGAACTCGGAGCTTAGGGCCGGCGTGACGGTCTGGCCCGCCCGCCCGTGGTACTGCAGGATCTTGCCGCCGCGCGCGCGGAACGCGGTGAGGTTGCGGAAGTCAGAGTTGACGCCCCCTGGGTTGAGGGCCACGGCGAAGTCCATCTGCGACTCGTTGAAGGCGTGCGGCGTCCAGGAGGTGTCGTTGTAGACCGCGCCTCTCCAGAAGTCCTGGCCCTCCATGCATTAGTACATCCCATCTCAAACTCGAACAAGGGTTTCTCACCTGGAGAATCGTGTACACCAACTCCGCCCTCCCATCCACGATATTATCCGAAAACACGCCCGTGTCCGCCCCGAGCCCGAAGGCAGGATACACAACCCTCCCCGCAGAATCCTTGATCGGCTCGTACGCCCTCCTCACAGGCTCAACCTGCTCCGGCCCCAAACACACCTCCCCCTCCTCCTCCCCCTCTTTACAAGCCATCACCGCCGGGTCAAACACATGCCGTCCCGGCTCATCCACAATCCCATCCTCCACCCCGTCCGCGGCATCAAACATCTCAACCTGCCTCCTCACAATCTCCTCCCACACCTCGTCCCTCACGTACCCCTCCGAGCCAACATCAGGCCACCCAACCCTCCTCGCCAGAATCCCCTTGGACGCCACAATCCGCAAGCAATCCACCCCCGGCGCGCCGACCAGCACCCCGTCAAAATCCCCCGGAAACATCGCCGCCTCCTGCAACCCCTGTCTCCCGCCCGTGCTACACCCCTGATAATACCTCGCTCGCTCCTTCCTACCATAATACGCCGCCACAACCTTCCTCGCCGTCTCAGCTTCAACATGCACCCCCCTCGTCCCAAAGTCCCGCACCGTCTCCGGCTTGCCCAGAAAGAAATCCCACCCCGCCGCGCCGTCATGTCCCACGTTCGTCCCGAGAGTCGCAAACCCAAGCTGCGCGCCGCTCTGTAAGACGGCGTAATCGACGCAGCCCCCAATCCCGCCCGTCCCTGACGCGAGCAGCCGGGAGTTCCAGGCCTCGGGGGGCGGCAGCCAGCCCTCCACGCGCACGGCACTTGAGGGCGATGTCGGGACGTCGAGGACGACGCGGCAGATTGGGGCTGGCGTCGTGAGGTTGGAAAAGACGCCGCCGCAGGAGGGGACTTGCGGGAGCAGGAGGGTGGTGTTGGCAGGGTGGAGGGAGGCCGATATGAGGGCTACATTTGGGAAGGCGAAGGTTGTCGCGGTGCAGTTGGGGGTGAATGCGAGAGTGGATTTTATGAGGACCGAGAGTATAAAGGCGAGATGTGGCTTCATTTTGAGTTAGAGAGGAGCCGTGAAAGAATTGCAAGCAAACTTGAGAGTGTGTTTCTGATGCCATGTCATCTAAATCAGATTTGTTGTCCGAGGACATGATCTAGATGTATACCAAGTCCACGATCCTGGCCCGAGGAAAACGACACCCCGGAACGAAGAGTCGTAATCGGACTTCGGCGCCGGTTGCCGCAGAGATCAACCACCACCACCACCTGCAATGATTCTCCCGGTCTACCTTACCCCGCGCGGGGTCATTAGAAGCGTTGCGGGGAAAGAATCGAACTCAGTGCCATTCGTTCACCAGAACGCCATTTCAAAGATGTGTAGTAGGACTTTCGAAGTCGGTGTGTCGATGTAGAGGTCTGTCGGTGAATTCGTGTTAGGTAGCTCGTCGTCCTCGTCAGAGAACGACGCATCATTGCATTCTTTGCGCAGATCGACGGCCACGGACGAGAGACCGGAAAAGCGGGGCCATGTCGGAGCCGGGTCCGGATACCGGAACGGGCAACTCATCGGGTCATCTTTGCGGGAGCCGGCTACAGGGATGCAACCTTTACAAACAACAACTTGCGAGTTGGACAACGAATATTTCCCATTACATTCACCGCTTGACAACATTATCCATCAAGAGGGGGTGGAGAGAATCCAAGTCCAAGTCTGAAGAGGAGGGAGGGTGGGGTATCTTTCTTTCATCAACAAATCATCCTCACGAAAAAAGGTCACTTCTGCATCTCCTGGATCCTGACCGTGACCCTCTTCTCCGGCTTCGTCCCGTCCTTGCGCTTCTTCCCCACATTCGCCAGCCGCGCCAGCACGTCTTCCGGGTCGATGCCCACGGCGGCGCCCGGCGCGACGTGCACGACGAGGTCGATCCGCGCGCGCTTCTTGTCTGGGTCTATGCTCTCTTTGGCTTCGAATCTGTGGTGTTGATGTCAGCGTTTGTCCTCAAGGCACTCTGGAAGAGGGGAATACACACCTTAAAGTCGACTCCAACTCATCCACGTTCTTGGGCCACGCCGGCACCAAGTCCACAATCACAGCCGCGACAGCACCCAAATACTCGGCCCAAAACACGCTCTCCAGCTTCGCCTCAGCCACGAGGCCCTTCAGGTTCCCGTACAGCTGCGCATCGATCGGGCCCAGGTTGGACCCCCACCGCGCGCACACCGTCAGGCCCAGCACCGCTCTCGCAAGGTGCGTCAGCCCGGGGGCGCTCGGGTCCCGGGTCACCGTCTCGTGCAGCGCGTACGACGCGTTGGCGTCGTCGTCCTCACCCTGGTGGATCCAGATCTGCTTCGCGAACAGCGGGCCGAGCCCGAGCGAGAAGACGGTCGGCGTGCGCGAGATGTCGACGTTCTTGGGCACCGCGCCGTACAGCGTGCGCAGCACCGCCCCCGCGACGGCGAGCTCGCCGTCCTCCTCGCCCGAGTAGCTCTGCAGCGCGAAGCCCGCGAGCGCCTCGAGCGGGTTGCTCTCGCGCACGCTCTTGGGGAGCTTCATGAGCAGGGCGCCGTCGCGGTTGGAGCCGCCGCAGAAGGTGACTGTGCGCAGGTGCGGGACGGTGCGGATGAAGGCCTCGACGACCTCGATGATGGCGGGGAACTGCTGGCGGCGGCGCTTCGACATGCCGTAGATCTTGCCCTCGTGCTCGCGGTTGACGCGGCGCATCTTCTCCGTCTGCTTGAAGAACTCGCCCGTGACGGTGTAGGTGCCGACCGAGGGGATCGGGTACGGCTGGATGGGGTCGTTGTGCTGCAGCATGCACCCGTAGCCGCGGAAGCCGCCGCCGCAGAGGTAGGCGTCGATGCCGCCGGGGACTGTCCCGTTGACGGCGCCGCCGGCAGCAGCCCACTCCTGTTTCGCCTGGGCGAGGGCGGGGAACTTGTCGCAGAGCTTGGCGAAGGCGCCCTGCATGCTCGCGTTAAGCTTCTGCTTCTCTTGGGCCTGGACCTCCGCGGTCTGGCCCTCGAGGATGCGGATGAGGCGTGCGGCGCCGAAGGGCATGCTCTCGCCGGCGAGGGCGGCGGCGATCTCGTAGTCGGGCAGGCGGGTGTCGACCCAGGTCATCTGGACGGAGCCGCCGCCGAGGTCGAGGAAGAGGCCGCCGCGAGAGATGTCGACGAAGGCGGAGCGGGAGCCCATGACGGCACCGAAGAGGGTCTCGACCTCGGGGGCGAGGACGTGGACGCCAATGTCGGCGGCCTCGCGGATCGCCTTGAGCATGTCGGCGGCGTTGGCGGCGCGGCGCATGGCCTCGGTGGCCAGGACGGAGAAGTGGGCGGGCGGGACGCCATAGGAGACGGCGATGCGGCGGAAGCGGGCGAGGGTCTCGGCGACCTTTGTGATCGTCTCGGGGGGGAAGGTCAGGGGCTCGGAGGCGGCGGTGGAGGAGGAGTTGAGGGCGTCGAAGAGGGAGATGCCGGCGCGTTCGCGGTATATCGGGCGCAGTAGACGGGTCTGGGGCGGGGTGAGGTCCGAGATGGAGAAGCGGATGCCGTTGCTGTAGTGGGGTCAGCGGGCGGCCGCCTCTAGTCAGCGGGAGCTAGGACGCTAAGGAGGGGAGGGGCAGCCGCTGTGTGCGCTGTGTTTGGCAGGGTAGCATCCGAGAGGGGGGATGGAGGGGAGATGGGAGGGGGTAATCCCCCAGACAGATCGCTGCGATGCGCAAGAAAAAAGAAAGCACGCCCGATGCTTGGTTGAAGAATTTCGGGAAGAAGACGAAGGAAGAAAAAAGCAACGAATCGACGACAGGCAAAGGACGACGACGCAGGAACTTCATTTCTCAGACTAACCTGCCCATATCAACCAGGGCGTATAGGTAATTGGGGCCCGCGGGGTCCCATCTCGGCAATAGCCGCTCAAAGTTGTCAAGCGTTATGATGTCAGCGCTTGAAGCCATGGCGCCAGGGTTCGTTTGGGTGGTGGTGGTGGTGGTGTTGCGCCGTACTGTGTTGTGTGTGCTGTGCTGGGTGCTGGGTGGTATTTCGGGATTTCGGAGCTGGATACAGAACAGGAGGGATCTCTATCCAAGGTTGTCGGCTGCCGACATTTGCCTGGCTGTGGCTGCTTGTTGGTTGCGGTCTGATGATCTTCGTCTCCTCTAGGATTCGCGTGTACTATATCTGTGTGTGTGCGTGTGTGTGTGTGGGCAGATGTATGATGTGCGCGTGCGTACGTGGGATATATATATATTATGGAGGGCGAGATGTCGGTAGGAAAGCGGCCGAGATGAAGACGACGACCACACGGGCGTTGACTGATGTTTTGTGAATGTTGGAGAGCGGGAGGAACACGAGGAGGGGAGAAATGGGGCCCCTGGCAGCCGTTGGTGGATTATCAGCAATAGACGGCAGGAGGCCAGAATCCACTATCACTCATGCGTCGTCGTCCGTTCCTGTCTTCGTTCCTGAAGGGCTCGCTGCCTGGGTGAGGTCAGGCCAGTCTCCGTGCCAAAGGGCCAGAGAGAGACGGGCAAGAGAAAGAATGGCAAGGTGTGTTGGGCGTCGCTGATTCGGGAGGGTTGAAAACCAGTCCTAACCTAATATACTTGGCTGGCAATCCAAACACCCTCAGTCAGGATAGAATACCTGGGTACAAAAGGCCTCATCTCAAGTATCTCGTAGTCCAGGTAAGGCAAGTGCAGCGAGCGAGGACGCCGCTAGCAAGACTCCAATGCAAACAACGATGCGCAGCAGCACTGGATCGCAGCGAGAACCCCGGGCCCCATCCACTCACTCACTGCCTACAGATACCTAGGTAGCAGAGAGTGTCTCGTCTACCTTGCCTCAAGCATCCAGCTGGGTTGGGTCTGTCTTTTTTTTTTTTTTCGTCATGCTTGTCTCTGGCTCACTGCTCTGCTTTAGGCTGCTTTACACTAATGTGCGTGCTGTGCTGCAGTAAGTAGGCACCTTAGCCAGGCGCAACTTTGGCCCCCCACTTCACCACCCAAATTCACATCGTCCCAAGAAAAAAAAAAAAAAAAAAAGGAAAAGAAAAAAAAAGATATGTACCCCTCCTCATCCAAGCCCGCCCTGTCTCTCTTTTTGCCTCACGCCAGCTACAAGACACAATACGCGGAACACGACAGGACAAGCCCGTCAGACGGGAGACACTTGTTTGGCTCAAAACATAACCAGCTTGCCGTCCACATCACCTCATCTGCCTTTCGGGCTGCTAGATGTGAATCATCGCAGCCAATCGTGCCCCTCTCCCCCCCTCCATGCCCGCTCAGAGCCGCTGCGGTAGGGATGATGAGGAGGGAGGAGGGGTCGCGTGACGGGACCACTGACCGCACGCCTTTACACGAAAAAGAGAGACACTGGGCCTGGGCAGGAAAATGCACGTTGGACGCAGCTCTTCATGCGGGTCAGCCACGGCCTGCAGGCCTGGCCAGCGCTCGTCGAGACAGACACGCTTCTGACGGCTCTCGCTTCCCCTTCCCAGCGTCGCTGCCCACTACTTCCATATCCCTCTTCAAGCATTTACCTAGCCCGTCGATGGTTACACAGTCCGAACGTCAGCCCTCCTTCAACCGAGTCGATGGCGACAAGGCGGCCAATGAAGGCACCCGGTCGTGCCATCCCCGCGATTAACATGGTCATCCGGCCCCCCATCCCCGCCCGCCGCTGCCGTCCAACGCCGGGCGCTGCGAGAGCTCGTCCGGGGCCCTGCCGGCCGGAAGAGCGACGAAAATTTCACCGAAGTGAGGGGTTTCGTGTCTCCGTGTTCTGCCATCATCCATGACAAGTCAGATCTCGACGCGGACGTTCAAAACACACACGCCTGAGCCGCCTAAACCCAGGGTTTCACGCAGCGAGGGAAAGGGTTTAGCGGAACGACGTTCTGGCTGACATGAGACGGCCTAATATGATATCCCTTGCATGCAGATGGTACGTGACAGGCCCGCGCCGATGAACCAACGTAAGCATTTAGCCAAGTAACCTAGACCTAACGCCTACATGTGATGCTACATACCCACCCCAGAAACGACAACTTGTTGT